TTCCATTTTCCCGAGTTGGAGTACATGTTTGATAAAAGTATGTAGGTCCCATCATGATCCGGGATTAATTCAAAAAGTCTTTCTGCAGCCTCAACCCCTAACTCCATATTTCCATGGATTCTACACCCACCAAGTAGTGCTTCCCAAACCGGTGCACCGGGGTAGAATGGTAATTTTTCAATCACGTTTTTCGCTTCGTTGAATTTCCCGGCTCTACATAACAAATCGATCAAACGACCGTAATGATCTTCACCCGGGGTTATAGCGTATGAATCTTTCATCGAGTTGAAATACCGTTGACCTTGGTCAACTAAACCCGAGTGGCTACAAGCAGAAAGAATCGTAAGGAATGTTATTCGGTCAGGAACTATGTCCTCTTTTAGCATTTCTTCGAAAAGCTCAACTGCCCGAGCACCATGCCCGTGCTGCCCGAAAGCTGCAATCATCGCGTTCCAAGAAACTGAATCTAAACATGGCATTGTAAGGAATACAGACTGTGAATCTTGAAGAACCCCACATCGTGCGTACATTGTGATTAAAGAATTGGAAGCGGAAAGGCTCAACTCAAACCCTGATTGGATAAGTTGAGCATGGAGCTGGCGTCCATGGTTTAGTGACGCGATAGCTGCACATGATTTAATCGCGCCTGCTAATGAATAATCACATGGTTGACATTCGGTTGATTTCATTTGGTTGAAAAGCTTCAAACCCTCTTCTCCTGATCCGTTTTGGGCAAATCCTGATATCATCACACTCCATGTCACGTGGTTCTTTTCGGGCATTTTGGTAAATACCAATCGGGCTTCTTCGATTCGGCCTACATCAACGTAAGCAGATAGAATGTTATTCCATGAAATAAGATCTCTTATTGACATCCTATCGAAAATCTTTCTTGCATCATCTGTTTTACCACATTTCCAGTATAATGTAATTAATGCGTTGTTAACACTACATAGAAAGTGGTGAGATGGGTTTATTACAGTTCTGATCATGTACGCGTGTATTTGTTTTCCATGGAGAAACAATTTAGCATTTGCACAAGCACTAAGGATACTTGTATAAGTGAATGCATCAAACTTGATTCCTAAAAGATTCATCTTTTTTGACATTTCTAATGATTCCAAAACAAACCCTTTATGCATGTATCCGGAAATCATTGCATTCCATGCCACTACTTGCTTTTCATTGTTCATACCATCAAAGACTTGGCTTGCACCGTGTAAATCGTCATTTCTTATATACCCTGTGATTATTGTAGTCCATGATAACTCGTCTTTATGTGGCATTTCATCAAACAGTTTCTGTGCAGCATCCATTAATAAAGAAGGTGTTACGAAAGGTGAAGAAGCACACCTGACGTAAAGAGAAATAAGAGAGTTTACAACCGATGTGACAAACCCGGTTCCCGACTTCACAATTTCAGAGTGTAGCTGCTGACAATGTAATTCGTGCTCAGCTATAAGAGACAACCCGGATAACATGCTTGTGTAGGTGTAGTTATCTGGCTGAAAATTGTTTCTTTTCATGTCACGAAAGAGCTCAATAGCAGCGTTACCATCGTCATTATGAGCACAGCCTGTTATCATGGCATTGTAGCAAACTGTATCTCGAGTATTCAAAGGAGTGCTGTTAAATATTTCTCTTGCCAGCTTTAGATTTCCAGAAGCGGAATATGCAGTAATAAAGGTTGTTCTGGCAACAATATCTGGTTTTGCAATTTCATCGAACAGTTGGCGTGCGTATACAAGGTTGGACGATTTGCAATACAAATCCATCAAACGGTTGAGGATATGAGACTGCGGCCTGAACCCAGAAGCGATCATATGGGCATGAATCATTCGGACATTGGAATACGAGGTTGGGATTTGGTTGGAACATGATAGGAGCTGTGCAGCGTAAAAGTTGGCCAGAGCACGAACGGCGTCTGTTACGCGAACGGCCTGTTTTATGCCATATCACGAAGTTATACACACAAAAATGGATAATTAGGAAAAGAAAAAAAAAGTAAATAGAAACAAGAAAGGCATGAGGGGAATTTAACAGATAGAAAAAGATGGTAGTTTGCGAACAAGAAAATCTTGTTTAGTACCTGTTCTCCGAGATTCGACGCCTGCTTTCTTAATGCATTCATTTCGTCAATTGCCGATCTACTGTAATATTTTCATTTTCAAATCAGACGCCCGCGGATATTTTCTGCTCAAACCATGTTGGAGGGGCGGACCTTCAACTTATAATTTGGGGCGGAAAGTATTAGAAACTAAAATTAACGTTTTTACAAATAAACAAACCTAATTTCAACAATTAAACACCAAAATACCTAAAATTACCGTGATTGTATCTATAAAAATCAAAATGGAAGAAAAATTAATTCAAAATCAGCCCTCTAACTTAAATCAAATTTAGGACAATAAAAATCAAATATTAGATAAACAAAAGCAATGCTCATCACTAATCAGCTCAATTTAGACAAAACATTAGCAAATTTCTGCAAAAGAGAACATTTAACAGTGTGTGAAATCCTAATTAGTTAATTCCCAAATTCCAACAACAAACAAACGGAGGAACAATTCATATTACTCATCACTCAGTTCATTCTAGCCAAACATTAGCAATTTTCTGCAAAAATCCATTTAAATGTGTGTGAAATTATAATTAGTTGTACACCAAATCCCAACAACAAGCAAAATAGCGAACGGAGGAACAAATTTAATACTCAAGTTTCAATACTCAATAGATTGGCTGCTAATTTCCAGCAGAATTGGAAAAGAGAGAAGACATAACAGCCGAACAGGAGATCACTAGGAGCATACCTGATTTTCTTCAGTATTGTGAACAAGAAAGAACAACAGAAGTGCAGAACAGCTCAACAACAGATGAACGGTGGTGACTGGCGGAGCTGCGATGGATAGTGGTGACTGGCAGGCGTCCCACACTCCAATGCCATATGAAGTTTTTTAACAATCCAGCCCATCGTGGGGCCCCACGTTTTTGATTTTCTCTGAAGCAGAACCAAATCAGTCTTTTTTTTTTCTGTTACTGTAGTTTCCTTAATCAACAGCTTGAAGAGCTAAACAGATCATCAACTAGAGTACTAGACAGCTAAGTCAAAAACAGAAACTAACTCAGGATATGAGAATTGAGATTTCAGATTTGTAAATTCTAATTCCTAATTCTACTATTCCAATTTCAAGAAGAGATGAATCCGAGAGATTGATAGAACGGGAGAACAGAAGAAGAAAGAACAGGAGCATTACATACCTGATTTCCGGTGACCGGTGACAGCTGCTGCGGTGGTGAATGGCGAGACCAACGGGCAGCGACTGAGCGAGGTAAGGAGGTAGCGACTAGCGACGATGGGGGAGGAACTGGGTAAGATACGAATGGATTTTGACTTCTTGTCGCTTGGTTTGGAAATCGGACTGAAATCGGGAGGGGCTACAGCCCAATTTTTACAAGCCTATAATTAAAAATTTTGAAGATATATTTGCTATTTCTAACCCAAATATCACCAGGGCCAAAGCCCCTCCTTGGCCTGTACATAATCCGCCCATGTCTGTATCTCGTGTATATTTGCTGGATTGCTGAAAGAACAAAGACAACAGGTGCGGTTTTCATTTGTTGAGGAAGTAAAAAAGAATGATTGGGTTAATGTCAATTTTTTTTGTTTCTCACATTCGAACCTCTTGAACACACACCTGATATCACATAGCTACTTAGCTCAGCTCACATAAGGTGATTGCTTCGAACAGTTGT